TTGATGATCTCGTCTACAATTGGAGACAGATCAGGGGCAGAGTTTAGTGCTCTGGATTCAGTTTAATGCTATCTGGGTTGATGCTGTCTGCTGCATTGGTGTTCTGTCAGTGTGTTAATATCCCTTGTCTGCTGTTTTGTTCTGTCTGCTATCTGCTGGTTTGTTCTCTTTGTGCATCTGTGCTCTATCAGTGTTCTGGCAGTCTAATTCTGGTCAAAGCACATGCACTGCCTGTTGTTCTATTTTGGTCTGTGGGTGCCTCTGAACAGTTCTATTTTGTGTTGTTGGGGACTGCTTCTACTGACAGTTCTGTTTTGGTAAAATCATTTTGGTCTGTGGATGCCTTTGCAGTGTTGCTGTTATATTCACACTGTTGCCGCAGTGTGAATAGGCCATGTCTGCTGGTTTGATCTATCTGCGTAATTTACAAGCAGTTCTATTTTGGCCCTGCCAGCTGTTCTGTTTTGGTCTGTGGGTGTATCTGTAGTGTTGCTTGCAGTGTTGCTGCTCTGAGCTTGGAGGTTTGCAAACTGCTACTACTAGTTTGTCTACTACCAGTTAGTTTGTTTGTTTGATGTTTTCATTTCTTCTTCTGTTTTCTTTCTTTGTTGGTGCCTCAACTCCAAGCTCCTCTTTATTGATGTAATATGTCATGCTTTGTATGCGTCATCAATAAAGATTTGGTTTAGCCGATCAAAAATATATATATATAGTCCCCTCATTGTTTAAAGTTACAATCTCACTTTTCAATAGAAAAGCGCAACTATTTTTAACTTACTATCTCACCTTTTATAAAAGCGTGATATATACTATTACATATCTCTTGCTAAAAATCTCATTTTTTTTTGAATTGAGATCATTTATAGAACTCAATTCTCTTCCAATAAATTTTATTTACTACTTCTTCAATCAAACAAATGCATCAGACAAGACTAACTCCAATGAAACAAATACATTAAATAAGAATAGCTTAAATCAAACAAATTAAAAACAATACATTTTCAACTTTACCATTCAAGAGTCTCACTAAATCCAGTATCAATACTACTGTTGCAACTACCACAACCATAATCAGCATGTGCACAATAGTGATTCATCTCAACCAACTCCCCATCAGTTTTGGATTGAATCAAACGGTGAACACAGTTGTCTCGGACATAGTCTTCAGCACCTGCTTTGGCTTCCCACAGACAAAGATTAATAGTGTTCTTAGTTTTGTATTCTAGAATGGGGCACATCATATGCTGCAAAAAAATTATTTCTGAAATAATCACAAAACAATATTCTCATCCTTACATCAGCACAGAAAAGAAAGAATAAAAAATGCTTCCATACAAATGTAACAAAACAATTCGTTACCATCCATTTGGTTGATGAGAAAATATAGGCAAACCATTGAAATCAATAGCAATAAGGGCGTGAAAGAAACAAAAATGATGACAGATAAACCAAAGTCCAAAGTAGAATTGCTTCAGCTTATACAATTGTAATGTATGTATTATTACAATTGAATATGACTGAGAAAAACATATTCCATGTTTGCATGAAGGGCCCACTATGGCGGCCTAATTTGTTATGCCATTGAATTTCAGATTGAAATAAATCATACCTGAAACCTATGAAACTTTACAAATCTCTTATCATCCCATATCAGTATCGGGAGAAACAAGTCCTTCATATTCCAGCTACACAAAACAAAGTGAATATGGTCAAGTGATCAACATATTCAATTGTAACCAAGAAGATCAGAAAGGAAAAAAAAAAATTAAATTCTATTACCCTTCTAGATTTAATTCAATTAAATGATGGTTGAATCCCAACCATGAGATTGGTATTGCCAGCTGCACTTTTCCAAAAAAGGGGTAGGCATCAAGCCAGCTCAACCTGACAAAGTTTTCATCAAATTAGAACTGAACATTGTCTGGAAGAAGATAAATAAAGATCAACGATAAAGAATGCAATCCAGTTCAATGGTGGGCCGAGTTTTTCAGAAGCCTCTCACAATTCAACAAGCTTAGCTTCAAGATTTCTTATCTTATCTTATCTTCTTCTCTCTCACCTCATATTAAAGGGCAATCTCAAGAAATGAAGTAGCTTGGCCTGTTGATCCTACACGCCCTGTCCTTCCGATTTTGTGTACATAGTCTATGAGAATATGCCTATTCAGTGTTTCCTTTTAGGATTAGAACTTAGTGTTCTATATTGTAACGCCCCAAATTTCTAGCCCAAATAATAATACAACTATTCACCCAAAAAATCATGGCTCTTTCAAGGAAAACCAAATATAAATCTCCAAACTTACATTACGTGATACAATAGTTCTTCATGCAACAATACACTAATCCAACAACAAGTAAATAAATAAATAAATACCCCCAAGGGTTTACAAGTTTCCAAGGCTTAAGCCTGGTTACACAAAATGGTTATTCAAGCCCACACACATACAGCTCTTGGCTTACACACAGAGTCACAGCGAAATCAGAGCATTGTACTCCCGACACACATACTTCCATGCCCCTAGTTGGGTGGAATCACGACATCTTTTCCTTCACAAAAATCCCGCATGGTGAACATAAAGCTCAAAAGTATATACATTTTATACAAGTCTCAAGAGATGAAATGCACATGTCATGCTATGTTTTTTTTGAAGATAAATCACATTTTCATCTTTTGAAAACCATCATGCTCAATGATATCATGCAATTTCAATTATTCAAAACTTAACAATTTATTTCAAGGGCAGTAAATACGACTCTGGTAATCCCTAGGTTAGTGTCTACAAGTAGACTATACAAGTACTACCAATTTGTCATTTTTATCGGTATTAACCGGAAAGCTCGACTCCTATCCGCGCGGGTTTTCAGTCTTTCACCCCGGACTCTCAAGCCAACTTATTCAATATCATCTACACCACCTATCAAGACTTACCAACATATTTACCCCAAAACCATTCCATGAAAACTTATTTTTCAACATTTTTTTCTCAATGCAAATTTTCAAATCAACTTTCAAAGTTTAATGTAATAAAATGAATTGATATGCCAATAACACAAGATGAATATAAATACTTTTATTTCAATTTATCATCCAAGGAATAACACAATTCCCTCTTCTCAAGTATCCTCAACAATTAGTCATTTCAACACTATTTCAACGTTTTGAACAATAATTTTCAAAATGAACAATAATTCTCATATTCCCTAAAATTCATTATTTATATAAATATAAATAAGAAATTTTCTAAACATTCATTTATTTTGACACACAAAATAAATATGACAATATCATTTATGGATTTTCAGTCTCTTAAAAAAAAATCTCCAAATTCTAGGTTTTCTCACCAAAACTATACAACTCAAATCTTTTGAAAGAAAACTTTCCAAAATCATCTTTTCATCAATCAACGAAGATCAAAACCTATAATATCATTTTAAAAGAACAAGAGATAAACCCACTTTCAAAATCGCTCAACTTCTTAAATTAACAATCAATTTTCAAAGCTATCGAAAGATGATTTCAAAAATCATATAGATCTTGCAAAAACATATATTTAACTCTAAGAAAATCCCTACCTCAAGTTTTGAAGAAGAAATGAAATGAAACCCCCAAATTCAACAGTGCCGAAACTCGATCTTCACCGCACACAACGAAACCCTCGAGAAGTTAACCAACTGATGAAGAACTTATGGCAGAACTCTAATGGATCTTGAGAAATCAAGGTTTTGATCCAACTTGGCATAGGGAAATGTAGAGAGAAAGGAGAGGAAAGGGTTTTTAGAGAGAGAGATATACAAAAGTGATATGAAATATCAGATTCACGAACTGATATAACATGGTCTGCTCAAGCGTGGAAAGCTCCGCTTGAGCGTCAAATACACTTTTCCAATACTTTTGCAGACAGGTCAAACTTCTGAAACCAAACATTCTCCGTTCGAGGGAATAAACGACCGCTCAAGCAGACAAACAACTTCTAATGCATTTTGCATTTTTTGATTACCGAAGGCCTCTTAACAGATTAACATACAGTTAGGGGCTACGGAAGCAAATATACAAAATATACGAGGTCCAAGGAGCTGTGATGACATACATGAGACGAATAATCAAAAACTTTTATAAACATACGAGTGATAAGGACTAAAAGATACAGTATTTACATATCACTCCCAGAAGTGTAATATCAGAAATTCATCCAGACTTAACCAAACAAACAGAATCCAAAATGATTACAAAAACAACCATGGAAACTTGACTCCAACAGAAACTTCCTCGGGAGGCACAAGGGTTGGCTGACAAAATTGGAACATAGGCCGTCAACTCTAGGCCTGGTCACGTGCTTGCTCACCTACATATATAATATAAATAGTGAGCGGAAGCCTAGTGAATAATAACAGAGTAAAGGGTTTTAATGAATGAAGTCCATACAAATTCAGAAATCGTAAGCCAAATTCATAATAATTTCATATTCACATTCTTGCCCAAATCATATACAGAATTCATAATTCATGCTTAGTCATACGTGGTACATCCCTTAGCGCAACAGAGCAGATGTAGAGCAAATACAAAACATATCACTGCTGGAAAATTGACTTTTAGCGGCGTTTTAAAAATGCCGCTATAGGTACTGAAAACGTCGCTAATTAAATTTTGTGACGTTTAGTACCAAACGCCGACGACGCGGCCGTCGCTATAGCTTTATGGCGTTTGAAAAACGTCGTTATATTAAAAATGCCGCCAAATGTCCTACCCTAATTTACTGTGACGTCACTATGACATTTAGCGACGTTTTGGAAAAGCCATTAAAGACATTTATACATTTTAAAAATCTAACCGTTGGGGTAAGGATATAGTGACGTTCAAAAAACGCCGCCATAGCCTTTATTTTTATTTTTTTTATTTTTAAAGTTGTGCTAATTTTATATGGTTGAAAAAATACCTGTCATAAGCAATTATAAGAACTAATAATTGATGTTTATTAAAATAATAAATAAACTAAGTTTGAAAACAAAATTAAAAATAAAAAACAATGCAATAAGATGTGATACTTGTACAATTGCAGAATATATCTAGACACAAAATATATTAGAAATCCGTGAGGATTTATTTACAAAGTCAGGCTTGAGAACTCATGCAGAAAGCAGAGAAGACATCCATACTCCTAATGACACAATACCGATAGTAGCAAAAGCTTGGCCCAGTTCATAAACAAAATTTTCTTTCTGAACGAGGCAAACTTTGCCAATTTGTCCTCCTACAAAAAGTAACAGCCAAGACCAAATTAGAAAGGTTAATATCAGTACAATAGATTGACACATTAGATTAGAATGGAAAACATTAGATTAAATTAACTTAATGCATACAAGTGCATACCCCAAATCAACAATGATGATGCTGACATTATCTTGTGAACGTCGGTCCTGTAATATAGATAAATTTGCAGGTATGATCAAGCATTGTGCAAGAAAAATAAACATCCATGCATCCATTACCAGAGCTGCTCTTCCAAGCGCCTCACAAGCTAACAAAAATCAGAACAAAAGAAGTTAAAACTTTGTAAACCATAACACTGGTATACCAGAATTGAGGCAAATTTTTTACCTGAACATCTCCATGTTGCCGAAGCTGATTCCTAACAAAATTAACCGCTTCTGAGCTGAAACAATAGCAAAGTTGATGAGATAATACTCATCTTGTGGTTAATTGAGAAAAATATTAAATAAATAACTATCATGCTAATTTAAGATAATTTACAGAGTGTAAGTACAAGGTTCAAACAGGAAACCACAAACAGCACTGTCAGTATAAAGCACAGTTTTTACGTCGTCATAGATATCTTCATCAACAGTTCCAAGAGCTACCAAGCCCAGACCCAAGCATGCACCATGATGAATAACCTGCACCAATCAAAGTTTCCAACACTATTATAACAGAAATTCATGGTGCACAAAAGTAACCGAACAATAGATTATAGAGAGCAAGCACCTCTACATTGGTACTGCATAGGTTGTCACGAAGAAATTGTTTGATACCCTCCCCATGGTTTGCATGAATCAAGCCTAGACTACTCAATAAAGCTATATATATATAGACTACTCCATGTTAATATATATAGAAATTGTCCAATTAAACATTGAACTTAATTTTAAAATTACAATATATATATAGACTACTCCATGTTGATAGTAAAATTGGACATCAGGACTCTCCTACAAAGTAAGAAACCAAAACAATCAGGATAAATACTTGACAGAAGCTAAGGGAGCATTTCATATATCATTAACAAATGCTAACTTCACAATTTAAAGTAGCTTACCGATTCCAATTTGTATGATAGTAAACTTGAAGAATGGGTATGGGGGACGGACGATGGACGCAACAAATAGACCTATTAACGACCCTGATATGGTAGCTAGAACAACGTTAAAAGGAATGAACCACCTGCAAAAGGTGAAAAAATGCTTGCTTAAACAACAAATCTCTGAGCTATTGCTATTCAGAAAACAAGAAAAACACCTAAATCTTACCACTCAATCATTTTCTCTAAAGTGATGGCTTGTCTGAGTTAAGAGAATATCAAACATGGAAGTAAAAGTGAAAAAACCAACTACACCACATAGTTTGAACAATCAGTTAGTTTGCATATATTGGCATATCACTATATAACACTAAATAAGAAGACAGGTAGAAAGATTTTATTTTCTAGAAGAAAAAAAAAACACTTGGTAATAATAAAATCTCATTGCCCATTGATTCTAGCATCTTTAGCAAAACTGAAAACTACATTGGACGAAATTCACAATGTTTTACACAATTCTACAAGTTGAGGGCAACTAACTAAATCTTGTTGGTTTCTCAATCAGCCTAGATTCTAGCTGACAAATAGTACAAAGGGTAATCACCAAGACTCCTACTCATATTGCACTAAGATCTCTCCATTTCCACCTACCAATAAAAAAAATATATTTAAAAAGTAAAAGAAAAAGATCTCTCCAATTACACACACGAATATAATCTACAAGTTATACAGCAATACAAAAACTAGATCATCGGCTAGATAATTCAATACTCTTTACAAAAACAAGATAATAATAAGCTTGCTTACCCCATTTAAAAGCTTCCTTCCATTGGCTGGTAATAGCTTAAAATAAGCAAGAAGAAATCCCAAGAAGCAAACTGTAAAAACCTTTGCTATGGGTGAAACTGCTATCTTTATAGTCCCAATCAATGACTCTCCTCCTCCATTTTGACTGTCAATTAGAACTTCTGATAAAAACCTTTCCATATTTTCCAATGTAAACTTCCAGACTTCAAATCATCAAACAATAATGTTCCGAACTGCTGAAAATTGTTCTCCCCTATTTCAAGGTTGGAATTCTCAAGGAAATCGAGTGTGAGCTAATTAACGGTTCAAATGCAACAAAATGGTTTTTAAATTGTTAAAAAAATCCCCAGAAGATTGCAGCTTTATTGTATACAGAACAGATTTCCAATCCAAAAAATTCTTGGAAATCAGAATTCAGCCAGAGTTTCTCCACGCCGAGATCTTGATGAAACCTTCAACTCCTTTATTTATTTGTATTGCCTGATCTTCTTGCTCTGCAAAATTCACCCCAAAAGTTAATTAAAGAATGATCAAAAATGAAAATATTAATTGGACAAGTTTGTGTTTACATTCCAAAATAAAGCTACACGGTAAAAAAAAAAAAAAAAGAAAAAAAGAAAAAAAGAAGACATTAACAAGTAAGAAAAAAAAGAGAAAGAAAATCGTTTGCCTATAATAAAACCCAAAAACAGCTCAACAGCTCATGGAATGGTTGTAAACATCTATGAACCAAAAACTAAAGTTAATGAATAAGAGCAAGAGCCAACCATTTAATAATCATTTGTTAATACATACCCCATAGAGGCAGATCGTCTGAACAATATTCGGCATGCCGAAAACCAAGAAGAAGAAGATCAGAATAGGGCAACATAAGTGAAGAATAGAGCTCTAACAAATATATAAGATATTATTGATAGTCATCTCAATACAATTGCATATAGATAGTATTACACCAAAAGCCCAAATTGTATATAAAATAGCCCACATATATATATACATATGTATAAATATATATATATAGAGAGAGAGAGAGCAAACCATTTGCGATTGAGGAACAAAGGGGAGCATTTACATCGATCTCAGCAACAATGCTAGCATCTTCGTGTCCAAATGAATCTGCAAAACCCAGAAGAAAAAAACATGAGGAGACAGAAATAGAATGAGAAATCAAGGGGAAAAAAGACGAAAATGCATGGAAGAGGGAAGAGCTTACATAAGAGAGACAAGTCTAAACGAGCAAAAATCAAGCAGCAGGAGAGAAGAGAGAGAAGTTTGGGACTGGTTCTCTTGTTAATAGTAGAGTTCCCATAGACTAAAGCAAGGGTAGTCTGTGATTCATCCTCATCTTCATCAACAACATCTATTCCCTGGTTAAAGGGATGATGATATCTCTGATAGTGCACCATCTTCTTCTACAACAGTGCAGAAACAGAGAGAGAGAGAGAGAGAGAGAGAGAGAGAGAGAGAGAGAGAGAAAGAGAATAGAACAAATGGGGTTTTGGTTCTTTGATGGAAGGGTTTCTGGTGTTGCTCTGGTTATTGGAATGGGCATATATATATCTTGAGCTGAGATTTTGTACAAATGGGTCAACCCGACCTGATCCGATCCACCCAAATTACAATATCCTCCAAATGAAATTATGGAATATTGCAGAGACTATGGAAGCAAAAAATATAGAAAACAATTAATTTTGTTCAATGTACAAAGGTGGTGATTGGTTGTATATATGATGTTGTTATCAGTAAATCATCAGAAGCTTCTAAAATGTCATAATACAATTAATTTTCTCATTTATCAATAAATATACCCATCAGTTTAGAGAAACAAAAAGTGACTGCTTGTTTGATACAAACCTAGAACTAGTCAAGAGTATAGGCTTCGAAATGAAGAGTTTCAGAGAGAGATAGAAATCTGCAATCTGCATTTGATCAACCAGTTCTGATGGTCCACAATGAAAATATATAGGTGGGAAAGATCCATTTAAATATGCTTACAGTAATGAAGCCCAAGCGCAAGGCCATGTAGTCAGCTCGATTAATGGAACTCCAAAACTGGCGGCTGAAACAAAGTTGTACACTGAAATAGCTTGAGTTTGAATTCTGAACTCACTTGGCAAAATGATAACTATAAAAAGCAACCATGAGTACCAAAAACCAAGAGATAAAAGCAATATAATTAAAGAGTTCATTAGTACAAAACTAAATGGTTGTGAAACAATTTAAATTGGATGTAAAAGCACATAATCTAACTAAGAAAATGTGATGACAATGTACACATACACAAGTGTGCAAGGTCAAGACTCCGTGTCACTGGTTGTCATCTGATTCAAGAAATGTTTATACTCTAGAAAATAAAAGAAACAGAGTGAATTATTCTGAACTAAATAATAGAATCCTACAATTGAAGCCTTGAACGGATATTTGGGTATCGTCTTGAATTTATTGTACCATTCACTTAATATATAGCATTTTATTGTAAAAATAGTATGCCTCATCGAACCATGAAGAGTCAGAACCGATCTAGGTTGACTAACATTCTAAAGAAGGTATACTTTGTTGATCAAGCCATAAAGGGAATCATCCTTCATGTCTGTTTGGTTATAATTTTGCCTGCTTTTTTCTGTTTTCACCATACAAATTTTCTTAAACCATAACTTGTGTAATTACTCCTCCACAATACCAAGTTGTAAAACAGAAATATTGCCATCTCCTGGAAGTTTCTCAAGGACTTCGACTGGGAAATGGGAATGAGTTGCCTAGTAAAGTCTAATGTCTTAATTTAAAGATGGTTGCTTAACTGAGTAAAGTGATGGCTCTCATAAAGAACTACTCCAGGTTGAACTTATCAGATAGAAGACACTATTAGTAAATATTTACTCCACATGGATATTAAATTCTGTAATTCCAAGAAACAGGAAAGTACATACACCTTAGAAAATGTGGAGAATTTACCTACTTTCCCCTAGGGTTCTATTCAAGAAGATAAAATTCTTTATTTAAATTTTAAAAGCCTATGGAGCCATTCAAGTTCAAGGGAACCACAAACCATATCCTAATTATTTTTTGATGATTTTATACGCATGGTACACTAATCTTTCTTATCTAATCATCTAAACCATTTGTGACCATCAGTACCTAACAAAATGCATTTACTTTTCCTTCTCAAGAAATATGATCATATTTACAACAAGAAGCCCTTTTTATCCTTTCATATTGAATGCCCTAGGTCGTCTTTCAGCAGCTACAACTTCTCTTACGCTTCATATTCATTTTACCACCCCAAAGCAACTGGAAGCATGTTCAAGTAAGACCCTCAGCTAATCATTACTTGAGCTGCATTTTCACATATTTAGGATGTTTAGTAGTATACCAGCAAATTCATTTCCCAATTGAATAGATAAATAACAACAACAAAAAAAATGACACATTTTAACATCGCAAAGACACAATAATTTAAAAAGGTGCATTACCAGCCAAACAAGAACTCTATGCTAGCTCCATGGATGGGATGTGTGGTGAAAAATGAAAGTTGATAGTCGCCTCATTTTTGTGTGGTTTGAGGCAGATTGCGGGGAACCTAGATTAAAATTTCAATATGGCATGATAGAAATTTTCTAATGAAGAACATCTGAACTAAACTCTTAAAAGATAAAGGGTACAATAATTCAAATTGTGTCTTTGTACATTACTTATATGTTTCATTGGGTTTACCATAAAAAAATTAACATAGAATGACTGAAGGAAACTTGTTATTATGAGAATCTCCAAAAGAATCAGATAGTACCTTGGATATACATAAAGGATTTTTTGCAGCATATTCACACAGTTTTCCAATCTTTCTGTCACTTGGTTCTGCTTCTTGTAAAAAAAACAAACAAATTGCAATATGCTATCACTATGGTGTATCTACATCCTACATGTTGCAAGAAGTAATGTCTCAAAAGTTCAAATAAATTACAGCAATCATATAGTAGAACTAAGTTTATATAATAAAAAGGATTATCTGATTCTATATCAAACATATCATGGTTGGCAGGTACATGAAATGCAAAATAAAATCATATTGTTGAACAATTACACCGAAAATAATAACGATGATCATACATTTTAAATATATCCTCTGTTTCTTTATAGTTTTTTAGCCATTTTAAATACATTTTAAAAAGTGACTGCTGGTTTGATACAAACCTAGAACTAGTCAAGAGTATAGGCTTCGAAATGAAGAGTTTCGGAGAGAGACAGAAATCTGCAATCTGCATTTGATCAACCAGTTATGATGGTCCACAATGAAAATATATAGGTGGGAAAGATCCATTTAAATATGCTTACAGTAATGAAGCCCAAGCGCAAGGCCATGTAGTCAGCTCGATTAATGGAACTCCAAAACTGGCGGCTGAAACAAAGCTGTACACTGAAATAGCTTGAGTTTGAATTCTGAACTCACTTGGCAAACTGATAACTATAAAAAGCAACCAAGAGTACCAAAAACCAAGAGATAAAAGCAATATAATTAAGGAGTTCATTAGTACAAAACTAAATGGTTGTGAAACAATTTAAATTGAATGTAAAAGCACATAATCTAACTAAGAAAATGTGATGACAGTGTACACATACACAAGTGTGCAAGGTGAAGACTCCGTGTCACTGGTTGTCATCTGATTCAAGAAATGTTTCTACTCTATAAAATAAAAGAAACAGAGTGAATTATTCTGAACTAAATAATAGAATCCTACAATTGAAGCCTTGAACAGATATTTGGGTATCGTCTTGAATTTATTGTACCATTCACTTAATATATAGCATTTCATTGTAAAAATAGTATGCCTCATCGAACCATGAAGAGTCAGAACCGATCTAGGTTGACTAACATTCTAAGGAAGGTATACTTTGTTGATCAAGCCAGAAAGGGAATCATCCTTCATGCCTGTTTGGTTATAATTTTGCCTGCTTTTTTCTGTTTTCACCAAACAATTTTTCTTAAACCATAACTTGTGTAATTACTCCTCCACAATACCAAGTTGTAAAACAGAAATATTGCCATCTCCTGGAAGTTTCTCAAGGACTTCGACTGGGAAATGGGAATGAGTTGCCTAGTAAAGTCTAATGTCTTAATTTAAAGATGGTTGCTTAACTGAGTAAAGTGATGGCTCTCATAAAGAACTACTCCAGGTTGAACTTATCAGATAGAAGACACTATTAGTAACTATTTACTCCACATGGATATTGAATTCTGTAATTCCAAGAAAACGGGAAAGTACATACACATTAGAAAATGTGGAGAATTTACCTACTTTCCCCTAGGGTTCTATTCAAGAAGATAAAATTCTTTATTTAAATTTTATCTAACAAGCCTATGGAGCCATTCAAGTTCAAGGGAACCACAAACCATATCCTAATTATTTTTTGATGATTTTATACGCATGGTACACTAATCTTTCTTATCTAATCATCTAAAGCATTTGTGACCATCAGTACCTAACAAAATGCATTTACTTTTCCTTCTCAAGAAATATGATCATATTTACAACAAGAAGCCCTTTTTATCCTTTCATATTGAATGCCCTAGGTCGTCTTTCAGCAGCTACAACTTCTCTTAGGCTTCATATTCATTTTACCACCCCAAAGCAACTGGAAGCATGTTCAAATAAGACCCTTAGCTAATCATTACTCGAGCTGCATTTTCACATTTTTAGGATGTTAAGTAGTATACCAGCAAATTCATTTCCCAATTGAATAGATAAATAACAACAACAACAAAAAAAAATGACACATTTTAACATCGCAAAGACACAATAATTTAAAAAGGTGCATTACCACCTAAGCAAGAACTCTATGCTGGCTCCATGGATGGGATGTGTGGTGAAAAATGAAAGTTGATAGTCGCCTCATTTTTGTGTGGTTTGAGGCAGATTGCGGGGAACCTAGATTAAAATTTCAATATGGCATGATAGAAATTTTCTAATGAAGAACATCTGAACTAAACTCTTAAAAGATAAAGGGTACTTCAAAAAGGAGAAGAACAAAATCACCCCTATAAAACTTTTCGCACCTTGTAGTTCCTGCGGAGCCATCGACTTCGCTTGATTTTCCCATGTTCTCCAGCTATAAATCTGCATGTACAAGAAGAAAAATCTTAGGGCTCTCTTGAGAA